AAATAATCCGTCTGAGCGAAGGAATTGTGTTTTAATATATAAATATTCCCAAATCCCAATAGCAAGGCTCTTCTTTCTAAGGACCATTCCATTTAATATCCACACCCCCCCTACGGATGAGGTCAGTAAAATTTTAACCCCTAAGAAAAAAATATCAAAGTGCCGACACAAAACACCCCTCAGAAATTTGTAAATTTTCCCCTTACCCCTCAGAAAAATCGCAGAGATCAAAGGATGCCGACAGGCTTAACCCCTCAGAAACGACTTTTTGAGTCACCCTTCAGAAAAGCTCATCCGTAGGGGGGGTGTGGACATTAAATGGAATGGCCCTAAGTTGGATGGCGTTATGATAAATCTCCGTGTATCATCAACGTGAAAACAAGCGCAGTATTTAAGGTTGGTATACTACAATGCATTACAGTTATCTTGTTATTTTATAGTCAAATTTCCGCTTTGTTGTTTTTATTCCTGTACTGTACTGTAATTTCAGAAATACACTGCACAAAATTATAGCGTAATATTTGTGTTTATTGCCTCTAGTTTGACCCTATTGTGTGTGTCTATGTACTTTGTCACTGTGATAGTTATGTACATGTTTTGAGTTAAACAAATTGTTTAATAAATTTTTGCTGAAGTAGTATACAGTAGTTATATATTTTTCAATTTTCATCTGTAAGTAATATTGCCATATTTGTGTGTTGTTCTATAAATATTACTGTAAATAGTGATACACTTTTGCATTAGATTGCTAATTTTAGAGATTACAGTGTACGTATAAAATAAAAATTTTCTTGTTATGATTTTGTAGAAAAAGATCTACTTGAGTGGTTGGCTGGTCTTGAACCTGGTCAGGATGGATATATGGTAATGAAGGTGATACGGCAGAAAGTGGTGACCATGCAGTTAAGTGATGAGGATGAAAGTGATGAGGATGAAAGTGACGAGAACGAAATCATCCATGCTGTACCATTCAAGTGCACCAGTGCTGCTCATGAGAAAAACTACCAACATCATTTGGAACTGGCAATATACTTGCTCTTCATGGACAAGATAAACCAGTGAATGTAAGAATATGGCCAGAGCAATTGAATCCAATGGACCCAAGTGCAATTGATCTGGACTATATGGAACTGGATGGACACATGTTGGTTATTTAATATTGCTTCTGAACTATGCGAGTATTTGCACCCACTAATTGCCGCAGGAGATATCTTAGAGGTCTATGTTCAGGATATCAAGTATAGGGTTGATTTAAATTTTAAAATAGGATTTTGTCCAAAAATTTCATTAAAGTAATGTGGTGAGTGGGAAACTCAAGTGGTAAAGAAGAGCATGAGTGTATGTTGACAGATGTTTGTGATATAATAGCAACTGACTAGGTTTAGCAAGTTATAGAAATGCTGTTATTTCAATTGGCTAACTTTTTAGATTTTTTGTCAGCATTTTTAATAAACAAAAACTAGGTTAATCACAAGTGAGTGCAATTAAAACAATGTCTGTCATTAAAACAATGTCTGTCAATTAAGTACATAATTGTAACACGTGCTGTACACTAAATTAATAAATAAATAGTTTATACATTCACTTGACCAACTTTGTGAGTAATTTTTCATTAAAATTAATGCAACAATAAAACAAAAATATGTCTATTTATATACATATTGATCAAAGGTCCCACAATAACATGCTGTGTTATGTATCAATGTTAAATCCCAGATGTGGGGTATTTAATCATTAATTGCATCCCCACCCTAGGGATTTTGGTTAGGATTTTGGGCCCGAGTTAGGGCAATTTGAACCAAAATGACTTTTATTAATATAGTATTCAGTGCAGTTTATTGCAAAATGTTGGGGTATTTGGCCAATATTTATTTCCCAACAGTGGGACATTTGATTGAAAATTTGCTCAAAAAATCAAATGCCCCACATATGTCCGACGCCCCGCTGTGGAGCTTAACATTGATAGGTGCATAAGAACAACCATGTCTCAAACTGAATTAGTTGTGTAACAGCATTTATACAAAATACTGTTAAATAAGGCCAAGTGGGCCTTCACTGCTATAAAGGGCATTCTATCCAATGGCATTCTAGGACCAATTAACATCTCCATGGCGTTGTTCTCCAAAGCATCGAGCAGCTATATAAATCAGATTGTCTTTTTGACCAGCATGAAGTACAGACATAGCCTTGGCAACAAGTGGGAGAAAATTTTGAGGTACATTTGAATTTAGCATCTAAACCAGGATTAAATTTTACCAGCCATTTTTGAAACAGGTGGATGAGTAGTTGTTCTGGTTGTTGCTGGGTTAGTTTTGAAAATCCAGAAGTCATCATAACAATAACATTTATCAGAGAGGTGAACAAGTTTAGAACTCCGAATTTAATGATGATGCTTAGAATCATTGACAAAAATAGAATCCACTAGCCAAAATCACGAATCTCAAATCTAAAACATCAGCCAAACAATACATTTCAGCAATAAAATATTGTTACAGAAGTGCTTTAATTACTTACATACTTTAAACAATACATATAAATCCGTAATATATCGAGACTTCTGTAGTATATCAAATTTCTTTAGAAAAAAGCTAGTAATAGCAGTTCATTATTGATCTGAGTGACAAGGCAGCATATTTCACAAAGGGCTATATTCAACGGTGAATATCTCGAAAACGGTTGAGAGGCCGAGGGGGGCCGGCTGGATAGAATTAAAGATTATACTTTTATCTAACTAATCGTGAAAAAAATAGAGAAATCGAACCATGGAGATTTGAGATTTTTGTCTTCAAAGATTGTTGACAGAAACGCCATTAAATTACATCGCGACGGTATAGCGCCTAAGTGAGAGGTCAAAATAAACTGGAAAATGACGCTTACCTTTTAAGATACCGTTCCAATGGGTAGATTGACTGTTGTAAAAGTAGTATCGCGTGAAATTTTCAAAAAAAATTGCATAACAATATGAAAAAAATCGATATTTATGAGCCCTATGTAAATTTTCGATGCTAAAAGCTTCGTGCGAGCATGAAGAAAATGGCGCAATCTGATTGGTCGAGATGTTCGCCTAGTTGGCTGTCCAACCTCCTCTGAGATAAGCCTCAAAATTCTGCCAATAACTATATATTGAAATAATTAGTAGTTTGGCTCATTACTATTCAGTACGCGTCAGTATGTAAAATCTATACATGCCGAGCTATACTATCCCAGCCAAACCATCGGCGACACTCACTTTATTAATAAAGCATTACTTTGTGACCTTTTTTACTATAATATAGACCGGAATAATTTACTCGTTTACCGCCCCACTCAAACAATATTGGATGTTTTAATGAAAGGTGTGGGTAAGGGGGAGGATTTTCTAAATTTGTGATAATGTTACGAAAGTGTCGCATATGTTTTGTCCAGGATTGTAGCTCATCCTAGGTGTCAATTTGGGACCGCAGTTTCCGATAGCATGAGAGTAGTACTTTCCGTTCTACCCTAGCAAACGCCTTGGAGTTTCCAGTTTCCGAACTGCACCAATAAGATGTGGCTTCACTGGTTACTTTTAAAACTACCGTTATATTTTATTGTAGACGTCGTGATTATACTGAGTTCCTGAAGCACATGCAAGGATTGGCTAATTTGTATCAACTCACTGGTGACGCGTAAGTATATGCGTAATTATAATAGACACCTTAAGATTGACGTTTGTGATGTTACTCTGAGTGTATATCCACACCGGGCGAGCTTGAAAAATATGCCCGGCCACGGTGGGAATCGAACCTACGACCTTTGGAATACTAGCTCACAGAAAAAATCATATTACAAGATTACATTGGTATCGAAGGAACTAGATTCTGTTCCGAAATATCACTTACTCGAACCGCCCTCACCGCGTAGCTCAGTTGGCAGAGCATTGGGCTAGTATTCCAAAGGTCGTAGGTTCGATTCCCACCGTGGCCGGGCATATTTTTAAAGCTCGCCCGGTGTGGATATACACTCAGAGTAACATCACAAACATCATATTCACCTGAGTACACAACACCAGCACAGAAAAAAAATCACCTTAAGATTGTTTTTAAAATTAATGTATTTCAAAACTGATGTAAAAGCTATTATAACAGAGTTGTAAAATAAAAAACTTCGCTAGCGGTTTGACGTTTGCCGTAACATCAATCTTAAGGTGTCTAATAAGCTTACACTACGTTCAAATTAAGCTGGAGCGAACTTGTTTGAAAACGTCATTTTGCCGTAATAATTTGAGCACTGTTTCTAATCGGAGCGAGATGAAAATTGAAAACGGAGCGCTTTTGGCGCTGCGTGTGAACACAAACGCCATTACTTTTTATACCGCTTTCAAATCAAGTATCTCAGGTCTCAAAACAGTAAATCCGAATGCTTTTCGTTTAATTTTCTTTGCTCTGTTTGAGATCTTTTTGGTTTACATGAGTGCTAACTTAATTTGTAAACAAACTGTAACGGCGTAGTGTGAACACACGCAAAGTCTGTCGGCATTATTTTGCTCCGGCGTATCGTGTGAATGTAGTTTTAATGTACGGTTTATCAGTGAGTGCGGCCGCAATAGTTCTAAGCTTTGCAAAAAGTCCATATACATTAGGCCACGCCATGCATTAGGCCATACAATTTCCATTCTTTGACCTTCTATGGATTTTCAATTTTTTTCCCAGTGAATACTGGAGAAAATTTTGAAAATCCATAGAAGGTCATAGAATGGAAATTGTATGGAGCTTTATTGGAAATAGAATGGATTTTGGTTATCTATGATAATTGCATGCATATTTTCATAGTATGGATATAGTATGGAAATAGTATGGATATACTATGGATTTTAGTGGTGCAATTGCAAATTTCGTAGTATGGATTTCACATTTTTTTCCAGTGCATGATTACGGATATCCCGACCTTGTACATATATTTTTAAAAAGCCGAAAAGAATGCATTGCCGCTCAACAGTTTTGATGTGCTGTTTGTTTGTTTTTTCATCCGACCATGTGTTAGACAGTATTAGTATTTATTTTCCCAGTAAGACATCCAAAAATATAAAATGTTCGAGAATAAAGTCAGGCTGACGGGCAGGCTAAACTTTGAACACGCAATTGTCAACGTGAAACATGGCCGAAGGAGGCGATGTTTACTTCGCTGTACTCTTTGGATGTACATGTCACTGCGCGTGTGGTATTAGATATTAGACATTAGACAGTTCTTTCTCCCTCCCCCCCTTAATATTGGCGAGCAAAATCCGTAATCCAACAAAAAATAGCGAGGCCTTATTAGAATTTTGCATCAAAATTAAGTTACCAAAGAGGTGTTAACGATGGGAATAAATATTTATAGTTCCAATATAACACAATGAATTTGCTCGAAGAATTTTTTGTTTGAGCTTTTGTCTTCTTCGATTTTAGATTTCAAAAGAGTAAAATATTCCAGGCTTTAGTATCGTTAGAAAAGGATCTAGAAAAGATTGCTTGTTCGGACGGGTAACTATGTTTATGATTGTGCTTTTTATTTGTAATCTTTGGCATAGTTAATAGCCATGTTGTTTTGAGTGCAATTTTGAAATACTAGAAGAATTCTCAATACTCCCTTTCGCGAAAGTGACACATACCAACTCCTACTTCAAGAAGATGTATTATAATAACTTCTTATTAACCGAACGCAAGGTCTGTACAGAAAAATATCGGACCGAGGTCTTTTTTTTTGTACAGCCTTGACTGAGCCTGCGAGGTTTGTACAAAAAGACCGAGGTCCGATATTTCTCTGTACATACCGAGCAAGCAAGGTAATAGAAAGTTTATCATATGGCATTTATTATATATTATAATTTTCAAATTTTCTATTAGTTTTGCTGTTTTGTTTTAAAATGCATGCGTTTGTTTTTACGTAATGGACCGCCGGTCCATTACGGGAAAATAATGGACCGCTGAAAGTGCTTCTCAGCCAATCACAGTCCGCCATTTCACCTGAAGTGATAGTTACCATATAATAATAATTAATAATACCCTTTCAAGGTTCCCAATAGAATTTGGAGCAGGAGGATTTTTGAAAGAAGTGGGTGGTTCTATGGGTGCTGGCTTCTATTGGGAGCCCTGTTCTTTGACGCTGAACTGACAGGGATTGCATAATTGTATACAGTATCTGTTCCATCGAGCATTGATACTACGTAACATCAATTTCTTGCAGTGAAAAATTGTTTGAAGAAAATGTTCTTGGAGGACCAGTTGGTTTTCTCACTCCACGACAAGGAGGTACGTAGAAATTCTTCGTAGAAATGGTTGCCATATAAACACCACACACAAAAAAAAGCCCCCCCCCCCCCTAAATGTATCAGCATAAACAAATGAGCCCCTCATAATCGTACCTAGAACTAAATTAATAGATCTATGAGGGTTTGCTTAATGCTGTATGAACCTTTATTGAACCTGCACGCAACAGTAATGTTTAATCAATGATTCAACAAGGAGTGTAACCACCACGCTTCTCGATCACCTCCAGGCATCGTCGCCTCATGGTGTTGACGAGTCTGCTAACCCCCACCTCCCAAGGTATATAGCTTTACCGTGGGGTGGTGCAGCGCATCCCTCCTAGTGGTGTCTAGCACCACCCTAAAAGAATCTGCTTGAGATTGCAGACTGCAAAGGAGAGTGGGCAGTAAGGCTCCCTCATGCACGACCCCGTGGAAAACCTTCACCCCATCTTGCAGATGAGGCCGGATCCGCCCCTGAGTATAAATTTTGTTATCATAAAAATACTCCACCCAATTTGTTTTGGACTAGTTTATCGATAGTATGTATTGCGTTGCTTGAATACACCTAATTCAATTAGCCTTTCTCACGATGACGAATATCCGCCATATTTGGATGGCATCTAATTCTCGTTAATCAATGCAGACAACTAACACAATGTGAAAAGCAATTTTTCAAAATAAACTAACCATTTACAAAGCAAATTTACCATCATTCGTCCACAAAATTATAAAAAGTCGCTGTTATGTGGATTTATCTCGCAGACTTTGGCTTCAATGCCACCCAAAAATGGCGGCGTGAGAAAGGCTAATTAAGGTTGTCCTTTCGAAGTCAAAACCCTGGACCACTGATTTTTGCATACAATCAGTGTAATTCATACGTCCGTCTTTCGACACTCCGTAGTTACGGTTGTTATGTCCCGTAAACCGTTTTGGCAGAATTCCTGGAATTTTTCAACTTTTTGACGTTGAAGAATGTTGTTTGTGAGCATACTTAACTCCTTTAGGAATTAAATTCACTTGGTCGATTGGCATAAATACTATAGTCATATACATACTTTACAGCAAAACATAACAACTAGATATTGCTAACATGCATGCATGCACAACATGCATGCACAATCTCATAATAATACACACGCTCATTGTGCCTTTCGGGCTTAGACGTCGACTGGTCGAATGTTTTAACCTTCAGAGACAACCTTAATTGAATTATAACTGTATACTACTACACTAAAATTTTTTCAATGTCACGTATTTGCAATGAAAAGTGTTCAAAACCTAAAATCTTTTTGGCGTTCCTCTCAAAATTACTTTGTTTTGGCTTTATTCTCTAGTTTATAGAGTTAGCTACCTTTTTAAATGCATCTGCCGGTTGAGAAACATAAAATAATAGTTAAAAATTGTCAATTAAAATACAATTATCAATGATGCTTTAAAATTGGCGCCATATTTACAGCCATATAAGCAAAACTTACTGAACTTCAGACATCATTTTCTCTTTGGCGTATCATCTAAAATATCTTCATTATTGCATTATTTTACAGATAAAGCACTAAACATACTTTTTAAGTTTGTTTGCCGATTGAGAAACGTATCGAAAAATAAAAATTTTGAATTTAGTCATAACCTCAAGTGATATATTATACGCATTAGTTTTGAGCGCGTGTTACGTAACATACAAAAGAATCTCCTCCTAAAACAATATTTTTATTATTTTAGGTCAGCTGATGCACCTCACGTATTTTGCCACGCCTTTGGAATTACGCAGTGAAAATGTATCCAAAATTAATGAGAACTTTGACTTTCATTGTAAGTGTTTTCGTATATGCTTGCATTTTCTTTACGATAATAGTTTCTTAGAATTGTCACCAGCAACATGAATAGCCGAACTTAGGAGTCCGATTTCTTTTTGAATTATTGATTTTTTGTGACTCTATACCTTTATTGAAATTGAGTAAAGGTTAAAAACAGATGAGAAAGCTTCGGATTGATAGGGATGTAACAACCTGAGAAACTTCGGAAGGCTCTTCTTTGGAAAGTGGCAATACCTACCCCTGCACAGACCGTCCAAGAAAGAAAGACAAATCAATTTTTCAATCACTAAGGCCCGTTTAAGACGGCTTACTCTTCATGTGACGAAGTTAATTGTATTAGATGCCACGCTGGAGCGATACAAGTACGACAGTGATTCAAACGGCGTACAAAATATAATATGTTGTTGCCATTGCTGGGGCGCATTCTCGAGCGAATGCTAAGTAAAATTCGAGACAAATAAGTCCAGTTTTAAACTGGAATTTACTAGATTGCCAATCTGATAATGTCAAATTTCCAAAAATTGAGCGGCGTATGTATCAATGTCGCTGGAAGGTCGCATAATGCGACAGGCTCTGCCGAACCTGTGTCGAACTTGCCCTACTTAATTGATTCAAGCCCCGTTTACACTACGCTCAATTTTTGGTACCGTACCGCTTTTTTGGTTCTTGGACTATCTAAATAGGTAGTCCAAGAACCAAAAAAGTAGTACGGGTACCAATTTTATCCGTGCCGTTCCAAAAATTGAGCGTAGTGTAAACGAGGCTTCGTACGTCGCTCTTCTGTCGTACCTATAATTCTTCAATTAATTTCGGCCCATAAAAATTAATTAATTAATTAATTAATCGTAAATTAGGAATGCAACTGAAAACTTGTTTTTAATTTTTGGAATTTCATAACTAACCGCATGGAAAGAAATAATGGTCCATTTTGGTCTGTCAGTTAGGTAATTACGATATGTAAGCTTTATTCATGAACATTAATAACTTCTTATTATTAACCGAACGCGAGGTCTGTACAGAGAACTATCGGACCGAGGCCTTTTTTGTACGGTCCGCGTTCGGTTAATAAGACGTTATTATATTTGCACAAAAAGACCGAGGTCCGATATTTCTCTGTATACATACCGAGCAAGCGAGGTTTATATGGGATTATAAAATGCATGCGTTTGTTTTTACGTGATGGACCACCGATCCATTACGGGAAAATAATGGATCGTTGAAAGTCACAATCACAGTCCACCATTTCACCGGAAGTGATGCTTGCCATGTAATAAGTATATATAGTAACCCATAACTCGTGCATGTTTTCCAAGAGGGCTGTCTCACCCCGCACACGCTGCATGCATGGACGTACAGTAATATCCACATTGTTGAGCAAATAATAAATCATTAATTTTCTTTAGCTTTTGTCCTTTCAAAATTTGGTCGTTCGTTATCAATATCTGTTGAACAAAGTAAACCAAGACTTTTGCCGACGAGTTCTCTTTTATCTGCTGAATTTTCTGCTGACAAACGAGGGTGAGATATTAACATGCAGTTACTGAGCTTGAGCATGCATGATATGAGGAATTATCAAGCCAGACATTTGTGTTGTCAACCGAAGCCGATAGCTGAGGTTGATAAAACAAACTGACCGCTCGATAATTCGTCATATCTGGATTTTTTTATTAGTTGTTTAAAAGATAAAAAAGACAACGCTTCTGTGGGTTCAATTCGTCGAAATATAAATGACCAGTTCTTTTGCTAAATATTTCCTTGTTTCTTTCATAAATACCTTAAGATATTTCAAAACCTTTCGTGGCTGTTTTCATTAATATTTTTGACTA